GTTGCTTCTGTTGCCCCTGATTTAATTGAGAAACAATGAGAAGTCAAAAACTCCCCAGATTTCTACCAAGAAGCCCCTTTTTTAACTATTGCCGAGGATTTGTTGAAACTAATCAAGGAGGATAAAGTAGACCGAATTATTTTCTTGTCGGCTTATGATAAGAGGAAATTTCCTAATGGTGATGAAAGAAAATTTCGAATGATTCACGATACTTTTGGCGGACTTACGCTTAAAAGTAGAGGGACTATTTGTTCTTTTTGTGAAGTTCCTTTCAGTAGTAGCGAAAACCAAGGAAGAACCAAAGCCGACTGAATTAAAGAAAATGCTTCTGATTTTGATATTTTTATAGATGATAATCCGAATATTTGTAAAGATGTAGCGAAAGTTACAAAAGAGTTAATGGATAAAATAATTTCAGACTCTGTTTTAGCAAATGAAAGTAAAGATTCAATAATAGCAAAATTAGAAAAACAACACTTAAAGTTAATCACTATTGCCCCTTACTATCCAGCCATAGAACATCACCCAGAAGTAGTATTAGTTAAAAATGAGGTGAGTGAGTTGAAGAAGGAGGATTTTGAATAATTATGAATAAGGGGTTAGTTATTAACGGTAAATTTCTTGCTGATAAAGAATGGTGAATGGAAGAAACGGACAAGAGATATATTTTGTGTGTCAAATATAATGGTAAGATTTACCGGAGTGGAAGGGATAAAGAACACGTAAATGATGTCAAAAGTCTCGATAGTAAATTATTGAAAGAGTCAGTAGCAGCAACTCTTATTATGCAAATAAGAATACAAATTAACGAGGATAAGTTAGCAGAATTAGAAAAACAAAGATTTTAGCGAAAAAAAGAAAAAATACCCCCCATCCCTTTAAAATATACATATATATAATTTTGATGAACTACTAAGATTTTTCTTTTTCTAAATTAATTTTTCAGTGAGAGGTCAAATTGATGGGGTAACGCCCCTCAGTGTTTCGATTCTGGGCGGTTATCAACTGACCCTTCGCTCAAGAGTTAATTCTGGGAAATTTATTCCTCAAGGGGTGTAATCATCTTGCAGCCTTTATCGCGGTAGATTAGGTTCTAAATGCAAATATGATTAACCCCCTTCAAGAGTAAATTTTCATAAGGATTTAAGAGGTTTTTGTAAAAAATGACAAAATAATCCCCTGCTTCTCTCTTTTTTTCGTAGAAGAAATCAACTTCTGGTAAAATTCAGCAGTAATTCTTGGGATTAGTAGTCACAGGAAATGTTTTAGTATGAGTGATTAGTTCACTCTATTACCCTAGAAGACCCAGCCCAGCCACTCATAAGGAACATTTCCAAAATCCTAACTAAACTGGGTCTTAGGTAATCTAGGTAATACAGTGAATAATCACTTGATTAATCGTCGTCTTTTATCACTTATCAATCTACTCTAAAGATTTGGTTAAGGTTTAGGAAAGGCTTCAGGTAGAATGCCTAGACTTATTAGAACCCTACGCACTTACCCAAACCTTTACAGTAGTTAATATATTATTATTTTACCAATTGCTTTTTCATCATTTGCATTATTAATTAAATTTTATTATTATACATGAACGACACAACAATTAATTACAACATACAGGAATTAAACGAAATATTAAACCCATTAGACCGAAGCCAAGGACGATTTAATAAGATTTTGGAATATGTGAAAAAGCACGCAGAATTAGAATATTGAGAACAAACAAACGGCAACGAGCGAACAATATGGATTAAATATAATTTTCCCTACCACCCCAGTCCAGCAAAAAACAAGCGTTATTCAGAAGTATTTTTATATAAAAAAGGGGAAAGACCCGAGGACGACCACACCGAAAGAATAAAAGGGACGCAAGAATTATATAAGAAATTAGCCGACAAAATATTTAACGATAATTAATATTTATACACAAAAGACATGGAAAATAAACCTAATTTGGAGAAAAAAAGACAAGAATACCGGGAATGATTAGCCAAAAATCCCCCTATTTTTGATGAAAGTACGGGCCATGAAATGAAAGAGTGTGAAAGTTGCTATTGTCAAATGATGGCTGATTGTCCTTATGACTTTTGTTCTGACTGTTCAGACTGCGATAAAATGCAGTGTGGTGAAAACTTCGATCCTAACGCTGGTAATTGTTGTGCTTGTTTTGGTAAAAAAAGTGGTGATCCTAATCTAAAAAGAAAACCATTAACTTTTACTCAAAAACAAAGATTGCACTTTGAACAGATTAAAAGACAAATGGAGGACTTAATTGAGGAAATTAAAGATAAAGAGGATATCGATGGTATGCGAACGGCTAAAGATATTGAAGATATGAAAAGGTGAAGTGAGCAGGAAAGACAGAGGGTTCTTAAAAATCTGACTGAGGAGGAACTTTTGATGGAGGTGAAGAGGAGGAATAAATAATAAATATCATGGCCTTAACCGTCAAAAATATCCTTTGAGCCAAAGATAATCGGGAAGATTTTGAAAAGAAGATAAAAGATGACAAGAACGCCGATTTTATCAAATTTTTTAAGGATAATTTAAGCGAGTTTGCGGCCGATAGTCCGACGGGTGATTATATGTTCTCCTTTCGGATTTGAGAATATATTAACCTAGATAAGAAAGGGAATTTAAAAGAGTTTGATGAGGAAGTAAAAAAGGCTAAAAAACCAGTTGATGATACCCTTAAAGATACTAACCAAGCACAAGAATGATTAGATCAATATTATCCCTATCAAGGCGGACGAGCCTATTATGATGATTTTAGCCATCAAACTAAACGAACGGCTATTCGCGAAGAGATAACTAGTTTGGATTTGAGCGAAAGCGGAATAGTCAACGCCACTAAAAAGGACAAAGCCTCTTCTTTATATGGTTCTACTGGTAAAAATTATATTGGCTTGCAAGGAGATTTGGATTTGTCGGATTTTACTAAATTGAAAGAATTAAATCTGTCGGGTAATTATCAATTAGGAAAAGTAAATATTAGTAAATGTTTGGCCTTGGAAAAATTATTTATTATTTCTAACCCGCATCAAGTTATTAATCAAAGCCAACAAATGGAAATGAGTAATTTAGTGGTGGCTAATGATTATCCATCTTTTCAAGTATTAGTAAAGTTTGGTTCTCGTAGTGATAATGCCGTAGAAAATAAATTAGTAAAAGTTAACTCTCCTAATTTTCGGTTAGTGGTTAAGAGTTCAAAAAATGATCGCTTATGGCAATTGGATTATATTAGTCGGTTTATTACCGAGAGGCGGGATAATAGTGGTAATATTACTCGTAGTTGAGATTTTGCGGTAGGTTGACAGTCAATGTTAAATTATGAATTGCAAAATATATTTCGCTCATTTATGACTTGGTCTCCTGATCACGATTATACTTTATATCGCAATGATTATCAAAAGTTTGTCAATGAAATAGCCGGGCGGAATATTAAGGCCTATCGTAAAACTAACGCCTTGGGGACAGCCTTAGAATTTGGAGAGGACGGATTTACTCCGGCGAAAGTTCGGGGAGGAGACTATGAGTTTTCTAAGGTTCTTGCTAAGATATTGAATCCGCCTCCACCAGAGGTTCAGTCATGAGCTTCTTTTCATAAATATATCAGAGGGAAAATTTTAGATTTGGAAGAGGAGGAAAGAAAAGCAGAATTTAAAAAATATTTTGGTAATATTCCCGAAAATAAAGTAGAAGAATTTTTAAACGAAGTCTTGGAAAGTGTGTCGGCTTCTGACAGAGGGGAAGACTCTACTACTAGTCAGTTTTATGTCTTTCCTTTCCAGACCAAGAAAGTTACTGGAGGTGTAAGGGGAGGCTCGATGGAAGTTCAAGTTCCTTCAGGAGTAGAAAAAGGAAAAAAGCCAAGGTTTAAAGATTTAGTTCCTTATAATGATGGTAAATATTACGGAAAGAAAATTTAATAAAGAAATTTAGATAAAATTATTTATATTATGTGTGAGTGAAGGGAAATAACACAAACAGCCAATGATGGTTCAGAAATTAAAACTAGGATATTGGCATGTATACCGAATTATGGTGAGGGTGATAAGAGCCGAAATTGAAAAGAAAAGGAGGAAGAGGAACATTTTTCTACTTAAAAAATAAATATGAAAAGAAAAATAGTAAAAACCATAAATTACAAAGAATATGAAATTAGTGATGATGGTTCCTGAAGACAAATCGGAGAAAAAAATACTACAGAAACCATTGAATTAGATGGCACTTATTTTGAAGGGGAGATGTTAAAGCAACAATCTAAATATAAAAAATAAGAAATCTAGATATCATTAAAAATATATTATAATGTCAACAAATAAAGAAATTAAACAAGCAGTTAAAAAGTATACTAGAAAAACTTCTTCTTACAAAGAGGGAGACAAAGAGGTTGTTTTAGAAGAGTATAATGAGACAATTAGCGAAAGTGAAATTTCGGATGACTCTGATAAAAGAACTAATGTTTAGCTGTGGCAACAAATAGAAAAAATACTTAAAAATGTCAGAATTAAAAGTCAGATGTTATTATCCTAATTGTCAAAAGTTAGGTTTGATTGATGTTCTAATCAGACAGCAATTTCCCACTGTGATAAATGGTAAAGAAATTTTTGGGGCTTTTAATTACTGATATTTTTGTCCTCCTACTAAAAAAGACTTGCCACCTGAACTAGTAATAAACAAAGAAAACGAAGTTTCGGCGAAGCAAAACGAAGTTCAACAAGAAGCAATAGAAATCACTGCCAAAATTAATACTTGATTGAGAGATATTAATAATTCTCCTTGTTGAAAAAAATATTTAGAATCTAATAATGAGGGTTAGGGGTGTGTAAAATAATTTTAAAATATAAATATATAAAGAAATCAAGATAGTAAGAAATATGACGGAAGAAAAAAAAATGGAACAAATTGTAGATCAAGACGGAGAAGTAGTAGACTTTACTGATGTTAAAGCCGGTGTAGCTGCTTTGGATAAGAAAAAAGTGATAATTGATGCTCAAAAGGCAGAAATCAGAGATTTGCGTAAGCAAATTTACCAAAAAGATGAAAGGATAACAGACTTAGAGCAGAATTTAGAGCAAGCTTTAGAAGGCAAAAATCGTTATCAAAGGGAATTTATGAGAGCTAACAAAATCAATGTGGAAGCCCAAAATAAAGAAAGAAGTCCTTCTGATGGATTTGTAGACGATTTGGTTGGTAGAATTAAAAGAATGAAAACTGGTACCTATTCTGGAAAATAAGAATAGATAGTTTATTAAAGGTATAAAATCGAGTGCTTAGGGGGTTGCCGTCCCAAGCACTCGGTTTCCCCCTTTTAATATGCTAAAAAAGCTCCGTGGGTTGTAAAATCGAGTGCCATTAAAAACCGAGTGTTTGGAATTATTAAACATTCAGAAATAATGGTAGAAAGAAATATATATTTAACGAAATTAGAGAACCGAATGGTTCAGGATGAGGTTTTTGATCTTTTACGAGTAAGAAATCCTTTCTTTA